CAATTGCAATGATACAAAGAGTCAATGTGCATACCCGGCGCAGTTGACTAAAAATGCAAATGCATGGAATCTGAAAATAGGACAAGGCTTTGGAACTGGCAGCAGTACGCGTCGTGACATTATACTTGGATCCTATCTAAGATTCACCTACCATGAAATAGAGCACGAAGAGGTTCTAGAGTAAACACCCAACACAGGGAGAAGAATTGCATTACTACCAAAGGGTTTAGAAACACATAATGGATTTATTGTGAAAACTCGTGCTTATACAAGAAATACAGAAAAGACGACATAGACGCTTAAACGGCATGTCTGAAACATGGAAAGACTAAACTACACCTAGGTAGTAAACGTATGAAGACTAAACTACACCTAGGTAGTAAACATATGAAGACTTAGCGTGGCTCACGGCCATTCAGAAAGTCATGTACGGCAGTTCCCGCGTACGCATCAAAGACTGATGCGTCTGAACGTCACAAGTACAAACATGAGAAAAAGACACATTCTATTATATGAAATATAATAAGAACCCCCTGACAATTAAGAAAGACATTTGAAAACACCTTCAGAGTGTCTCCTGACCTCCGTAATGAAAAGACGAGCCAAGACAAGGCATTTTAATTAAAAACTCGGAAGCGACGGAAGGCCGAAGACTATTGGTAAACGCGTACGCATGCGCATCAACGCATCAGGAAACGTTAATCATTTTGTGATGTCATCTGTCAAACCGGTAAACCGGGCCATAGAAAGAAACACGCGAGATCATGCCAAGCTAAGAATAGCTATGTCGGCTAACTCCGCGTACGCATCAAACACTGATGCGTTTGAAAATGAAAGACGCGACACTACAAAATCTGTAGTGTTCACAGAGATAGACTACAAAATATACCACACGTTCATTAAATTTCATATTTGTAATTCGGACCGAAGTATCCCGCATTAAAACACATGTAAAACATAGATAGGGGTTCCTGGAGTATATAAGGAGCGCGCTGGCAGGTCAAAAGGAAGTAATCGCCCCCCCGTTGACCAGCTAGTTGCACTCCAAGTAGAGACTTAGGAGGTGGACAGTTGTAATCAATTAAAAGGAGATTTCTTCGTGTCAGATAAGGGATCCTCTA